GGCATGGGCCCTTTCGGCGTTTGCCTCTGCCGCGGCTACAGTGTAGCAGCAAGGGAGCCCTTTCGGCGCCTGTCCCTGCCGCACGTACAGAGGGAGAGCAGCAGATTATTTTACAATCAGATCAGCCTTCCGACCAGGAAGCTAATCTGCAACTCTGTCAATGATGGGTTGAACCTGCTCCTTTGTCAACTTTTTGATGGTCAATGGTAGGGGTACTCCTGAGTTCTGACTATAAATTTGGACTTGTAACTTGTGCAGATATAGTGCACTATGGTTATCTAGTAATAATATGTTTGTGCTGTGAGTCCAAATTTTTCCCATGGATATCAAAATCTCGAATGCCAATTTTCCATTGTTGACATGCAGTTTGTCACGGTTAGCTGCCAGTGAGTTTGCTATGGTGTTGCTTCTATATAAGGATCTAACTCATTATCTGGCCCAACTGCTAGTTAATACTGGGGATATAACTCATTAGCTGGACCAAAAGGGAACCGATGTACAGTTTGGGCATATGCTTTACAGGTCAAAATCACATGGGGATCACTGACCATTCTGATTTGCTCATTTTTCTTTCATCCATCTGAATCAAGCTATGTTGAATGCGATGGATCATTCTCTCAGTTTATTTTCTTTGAATGCTAGTCAATTGGACTGACATGTTCATGCATCGTTAGAGTTTGGTATCAACAACTGCACGATAGGATGAGCTGGTTTGTGAATTAAACTCATTATATGTTGCCTAGGCCAACAATCCAATTTAACATCTGGTGAATATGATTCAAAATAAATTGACATGTTGCCTACCAACAAATCGATGAAGTGAAATCTATCCAGTTTGTACTTGGCTGCTGAACTTGCATGTGACTTTCTGATTATGTTCAGCATGTTGCATTTGACTTATATGTGCATGCGTTCATTTTCCTTGGTGGTGGTGGGAATGTATCTGATATTTGCTCAATCAAGCAACCACAATATTTGAAATGGGCTCAATCCACCCTCCTAAGAAATCTTGGGTGTGTGGTGTCTCTTTCTTAACTCTAATTATGTTGTTTTACAGCATTAGATTTTTTTTAAATACAAAATTCTGATCTTTTGGGAAACAGTGAAAACATTGGCATATTTTGACTCTAACATACCTGATTGTTTTGCACTACGGTTTCTGACTAAACAATACTGAGGTTACCTGGACAGTGGCATTTTGTGCTGTGTTACTGATGACAAATATTAATATTTCATAAATAGCATTGACCCTGCCTATCCCCACAACTTTCTTTCTATGTTGATTCCCTGTACAGTAGGGTTCTACTGTTTTCCATGTAAAAATAAAAATATCGATATTTCAACAGCAGATGCAATATGGAGTTTTGTTAATTTTGGGCTGGTAGGTCCATATGTCATACTACTTTCTTGTTTTTACTGATTAGCAATTTTTGGCCATTTTTTCCCCAAAAAACAAAGCCTTATGCCATGATGCTGTTTACTGTTGACAGCTTAAGATAATTGAGATACTTCTGAAAGGATGCAGTAATGCAGAAAATTTTGTACAAAAGGTAAAGCTTACAATTGAGCTAAATGTACTATTATTAATGCAATAATGCATTATAATTATTTCTGAACCGTGCCACTTCTCCAAATCAGTGCAAGAGGTTGATAATCCAAAATGCACCTATCATAATGGAGCATATTAAGAAGTTCCTCGAGAAGAGAGATTTCTGCAATTCTATCCATGTGTGTGGAGGTAAATCTGTTCGTGCTGGATCACAAGTCCTCAGAAGCCTTTCTTCAGCGTGAAGTCCTGAACTTGCACGAACAGTTATGTTCATGCAACAGATATTAGTGTGAAAAGAAGTCCAAGCGCTATGTGAGTCCCGTGTGACATCGACTGTACAAAATTGGCTGTGTACATGTTAAAGGTAAACAAAACTGAGATACGAACCTCTGCTTTTTGTGGGTCATGAGCAGGGTGTATATTTGAGCTGTATATCATTATACCTTAGACATCATGTTGCTCCATATTTACATGTAATAGTGTTTGGTAACTTTGGAGCAGTAATATTTATGATGTCAGGTACAGCTTGATCTTTCATGATGTAATGCAGGATTATGCGTCTAAAGCTTCATGAGTTCAGTTATAATAATGTGAGCATTAATATCTGGCTTTTTACGTCACAAATCATTTCTACTCATTTCTCACACAAAACCAAGCTTCAAAGCCACAGGTTCTTTATGCAAAGATTTGAGGGTAATCTGGTCACTTAATTTTCGCAGCTTGGCATCACAAACTTATCAATTACTTACAGAGTAGCCGTTTAAAAGTTGTATACCCGCCCAGTCAAATTTTAGATGGAATAGCCAACGGTCGTTTTCAGGCGTCAAATAATGTCGCTCCACCATTATTGTTGCTTGTTTATTCGGTATTTGTTTTTTCTTGCCACTCTCGTCCGCTGCCACCCGTATTATAGATAATAAGGCCTTCCGTGTAATAGGTTGCGACTGCGACGTACTCCTCGTGATAAGAACGGGAAGCTATTATTGTACTGGCTCAGGTGCCTGATATATCCGTTGTGTTATCAGCATGGCCGGCCACAAAGTCCTGAAAAGACGGTCAATCATATATATACCATACCATCATTCTACGTGGCTCAAATGAAACGAAGATGCGTGATATATGAAAAAAAAAAGCTATTATCGTCTCGCAAATTAGTCTTCATATATGTAATTAATTTAGTAATTAGTCTATATTTAATACTCATAATTAGTAATTAAATTATGTTTAATACTTTTAATTAGTAACAAACATTCGATGTGACAGGGACTAAACTGTAGGAGGTGGAACCAAACACCCTCTTAGACGTTGTTTGGATATCCATGTATTCACATCAATCCGCATGTGAACACATGTAAATAGAGCAGGTAAATACATAGGCATCCAAACAAGTCCTTAATTAAGTTAGACTTATTTTCAAATGCTAAAGGAACGTAAAACACTTGATATAATTTTATTTTTGAAAATATAAAAGGATGACAAATGGCAATGAAAATATAAAAGAATTAATGGATAATTCAGCCAATATGAACTTCCCAAATCAAACCTGAACCAATACTAGATTGGTTGCAATTTACAAAAGATGATCACATTTGCACTAAAATTTTTCAACCTTCTATTTTGAAAAAGATATAATATTTCCATCTAGCGTAGCTACTTATTAACCAAATTGAGTAGCAATACTTACATGGTAGACCATGGCTATAATTCTATCAATACACTATGCTATCACTCTAGTATCGACAACAAATTATTGATCACCTTTCCGTGAAAACACAAACTTGTACGATCATAATGTTGCAACGAAAACAGAGGAACACCATGGTTCTAGTCCTATAAATTTTATGAACTAGTATTAGTATAAACCAGATTCATGTTGGAAACTAGAGATCGGTCTCGTGTGAAAAATCCACCTTCGTATGATTAGAATAGAGGATTGAAGTTTAAGAACAATAGATACTAACTATATTCACGATTAGCGGCATCAACTTCTCGATTGACGTCGTGGAACACATGCTCCGTGATGTGTGTCTTATACTTGCCAAAACCATCTTAAACAATTCCACACTAACCTCACGTATAATAAACATGCCGTAAACCTACCATTAACCCGAGCGTCTAGTATGTGAGTACATATTTTATCGCACTAGCAGCGTTTGTGTCATATATGCACAAATTTGAGCAGTTTTACTTAGTCGTTGGACTAATAATCTTCACCCACCTGCTAAATTATTGTATGGTTAAGTAATTTACTCTAGAGATACAAGAGTACGATGTAGTGGAAGACCATTTTAGCCTAATAAGCCCCTCACAGGTCACGGTGGTCCGGCCACGCTGCAGCATGTGCGACGGTTCATTAGTGCGAATGGAATTGCGTTGTGAATCTTGCAACTGATTGCCCATCCATCGACGTGGACTTGGCATCGTGCGTGTCACTTGACGTGCACCTGCTAGCGAATCTCCGCTGGACCAAACACCAATAATGCACTTCTGTATGCATTGGGTCGCCGTCAAGGCAAAAGCACACTACTGGTGATGGCAGGGATGACTTGGATGTGGAAAATACCTCAGATAATTTGTGTATAAAATAGCACACAAATGATGATAGTACTGAACTGAACATTGATAGTGTATCTATATGACTATATCCCACTACCTATATTCGTATCAGTATATATATGTCGATTCATATCCTCTATCTGTATTGATCTCTATCACAATAGAATGCTGATTGATCAATGGCAAAATCAGTGTCACTAAGAAGCTACCAATGAAAGGTGTAAACCCCTCTTCAGAAGTTTCTTTGGCCTAGTTATTCTAAGGGCGAAGAAAAAGTACCTCCCTACAATCAGTTTATGGCTATAGCAGACATTGTAATTGCCCTCATCTTCTTTGTTTCTTGAGCTTCAGCTCCCCTTTTTGTTGCTGTTTTTGTTTCTGTTTTGTTTGGACCTCCTTTTTTAATATATTCCCAGTAGGAGCGTAGGCCCCTCCTGTTCTCTAAAAAAAGCAGTGTCACTAAAAGCAGTGTCACTACATACACAGTCCAACATTAATACTAATATAAAAATGAAGTATACCTTTTTGCGGAGTTTGTCTGCATCCTTTTGACATTTGCACATCCACATTTCATCTTATAATGGTTCACAAAAATGAATCATCTTATAAATATGAATAAGCTATCACTATATAACTACACGTGTTCTTAAAAACGACACAACATCCATGTCAATGTCATCATATATAGAAGATCAACAATCTTTTAGAGATTCATCGAGGACACTAGATGCTTGTAAAACACTAGACGCTTGTATAAACACGGCTACTTATCAAACCAAGAATACAAGGTACACGCACACCTTTCATTGGAAGGCGAGGTTGAAGTTCCAACAAACTCCACTACCATTTCTTCCAAAGCCGGCTAAGCGCGCGTTCAGCCTCCGCTTCACCGGAGATGCCACCGGAACCGGACGACTCATCGGTGGCCTCCTCTACCGCCGCGGCAGAAAGCTACACGAAGGTCCTCCAGGGCAGGTACGAGCTCGGCCGCGTCCTCGGCCGGGGCGCCTCGTCTAAGGTCTACCGCGCGCGTGACGTCCGCTCGGGAGTCTACGTCGCCGTCAAGGCTGTCCGGAAGCCGCACCACCCGTGCTCACCAGAGGACGCCGCGGCGGCGCACCGGTCAGTGGAGCGGGAGCTCGCCGCGCTCCGCCGCGTCCAGGGCCACCCACACGTCGTGCGCCTCCTCGACGTCCTGGCCTCCCGCTCCACCGTGTACCTCGTGCTGGACCTCGCACGCGGCGGCAGCGTCCAATCCGCGCTGGAGGATAGGGGACGATCCGAGGAGCCCGCCGCCTGCCGGCTCTTTGGGCAGCTCGTCTCTGCGCTGGCGCACGTGCACGCGCGCGGTGTTTTCCACCGGGACGTGAAGCCGGAAAACCTGCTCCTGGACTAGCGCGGCGGAGTCAAGCTCGCCGACTTCGGGCTTTGCGCCTTCGCTGACCGCCAGCTCGGCGCCGACGGGCTCACGGCCACGGCCTGTGGGTCCCCTGCCTACGTCGCTCCGGAGATCCTCCTCAAGAAGCGCTACGACCCCGGCAAGGCCGACGTGTGGTCATGCGGCGTCGTGCTGTTCTCGCTCACTGCCGGCTACCTACCGTTCAACGACGGCAACCTCATGGGCATGTACCGCAAGATTTGCTCGGGGAAGTTCCGGTGCCCCAAGTGGTTCTCCTCGGAGCTCCGGTCCCTCATCGGGAGGATGCTGGATCCGGAGCCTGATAGACGCATAAAGGTTGGTGAAATCTTAAGCCACCCTTGGTTACAGCAAGATGGCATGTCCATCCCAGTTCCAGTTGCTTCTTCTTGTCATCCTACACCTGAGGTGGTGAAATGGGAAGCAGAATCAGAGCTGGCAAGGGAGATGAATGCATTTGATATCCTTACATTCGCGTCAGGGTGTGACCTGAGCGGCTTGATCGGGACTTTGCCAGATAGGGCTCGATTTGTTGTATCGAGCTCGAGTATAAATGCCAGGTCAATCTTGGACAAAGTTGAGGAGCTAGGGCGTGAAGATGGGTTCAGGATGAGGAGGAAGGAAGAGGCAGGGTTTGGAGGGATTCTATTTGAAGCAATGGACGGGAAATTCGTCGCGCAAGCAAGTGTTCATCTGCTGCACGAGGAAATGTTGCTGCTTGAGGTTGAAAGAGCTAGCAACGAAGACGTACCAAAATTTTGGGAGAAACTTCAATCAAATCTTAAATTCTCAGCAAACTGAAGATCAAGATTGCCTATTCGAATAAGTTGGTTCAAGAGCCCATCCTCTTGCCAATTGCCTTTCCTCCACATAAGAAGACACTGATTTGATACTGATCGCATCAGTATGGATGAGATGGCTATTGACCAAATTTGTAGCAGAAATTGACCAAATTTGGAGCAGAAATTACCAATGGTACAGGACTCTGTTGTAAAACCCCAGCTATGGCCTTATTTGATGCACTCCTATCCACATCAATCCATATATACCGGAGTCTAAAATTAACTAATTTTTACCTCTATCCGCTTCAACAGCCATGGAGTAAAGTGAATACGAGTGCAGCCAAAGAAGCCCTAAGAAAATAAACATATGACACCTTTAGCACAGCTTCATAACTTCACATGAATGATGAACATATTTTGTCCACCATTTTAGAATATTTAATAATACTAAAATATTTTAATGTTTTCCTAGTAATTCCATTATGTTCTAGTTCTACCATATGTGAAAATTACAGAGGAGCCTTGCTATTGAAAATTTATAATAGAACGAACGCAACACAAATAGAATGACTATAGAATGCTATGTAAGTTGTCGTCCCCATTCTTAATGCAAGTGTCCTCGTGTGAGCCTGGGCCTCGTGTTCCATAAAACATGGAATAAAAGAAAAATCTACAACCATGTCTATCTCTTAAAGAGCAAAAGCAATAGACCTAGTTACCCGAGCTATTTTCTACATCAACTTTAGAGGCACTATCTGTGTTGCCATACATTACAAACTGTGCCATTTAGGTGTGCATCACTAGTACAATTGAGTTCAGTACCGGTGGTTCCAGACCTATTTCTAGTGGCGTTTAGGGCCACTTCCAGTGTGAAAGGCTAGTGAAAATTGCAAACATTAATGCGTCTACTTGAGATGCGCCAGTGTTAATGCATTTACACAGGTAGTTTGCTTAATCCAACCACCAGTGTAAAATAAATTTACATTGGCGGTTCACCTTAAGTCAACCGCTAGTGTAAACTCATTGGCATAGGCGGTTGGTATGTGAACCACCAGTCAATATGTTTTTACACAGGCGGTTTACCTAAAAGAACCACCTCTAGAAAATGTTTTCTAAAGGCTATATAGTAGCATTATAGACAGTGAATTGTTTTTAAAATTTAAAATTTGGCGCCATATATTTTCCGCCAGTGAATTATTTTGCAGCCTCTAATAGCAGCAGCGTCTTCTTTTGCAGCCTCAGCCGCTTTCGATGACTTTGCATCTTCTGCTCCTGCTGCCCCCTTGGCGCCCCTCCTTGGTGCCACTGGAAAGTTCGAGCGACAACCACAGGTGGGCGCCAATGTTATTCTATACCGAAGTCTTCAAACACCAGAGAGCTGCCGAACTACGAATAACACTGGGAAGTAGTGAAGCTATAACAAAAGTGGGCAAAGGAAGATAGCGAAACTTGTAAAAGCAATCATGGAATCATCATCCATCCTCTTACGCTGTTGTTCGGGGGAGCACTATTTATAGGCCTCCTCTTGCATTACAAAAGACCGTCATGCCCCCACTCTAGTCAAGTCACAACAATCAAATGGGGATCCAAGTACCCATGGCCACGGGGACCACACAAACTGGCTTCGCTCAGGAGCCGCCGTGAACCGCCTACGCATAAGGGGAAACCCCGCCATTTCGAACTCCGGTCAATCCTACCCTTGCCTCCCCGCATTTTGGCTAGAGCGAATGGTCCCCATTGTGCGAGTGAGTGTTGCTCCTTGCCATTCTGGGGAAACTCCACCGACGCCTTGCGAAGCCTGGCGAAATCATGCGACCTGCAAAATCAAATCAGTGGCAAAAAGTGTGGAACACCACGGGGCGAGAGGATCTCTACCAATAGGACCCTGCCCAACACTAAGGGTAGGCTACCATAAAAAATTCACTGCAGTTGGACTACATAAGCAGGCTCTATTAATAAAACACAGAAAACCCCTAGATTTACTATTGCAACCAATATTTTGTTCTTAAGCATAGTGTTTTATATAGGGAATGTGTAGATTATAGTATCATGAGTCCAAAAAAATTGAATTTTTATTTTATAATATTTATTTAATTTTATATTAATTTTGCATGATCTCAATTTTAATTGAATTTGGAAAAATAAAAAGAAAACATAAATGAAAAAGGTCGTCCTGGGCTTGTTCATAGGCTCGGCCCCAGGCCCAGCGGGCGAAGCACCCGACCTGGAGTTGCAAATATTTCGTCAGGAACCCGATCTAATTCAAAATTCATCAAACTCCTTTCCCTTCCAGTGATTCCACAGCCGTTTCGAACAGCTACGTCCGAGTTGCGCTTGCGGGCTGCAGCATAGATAGATGTAGCGCGGCTCTGTCCTTGCCCTATGCCGGCAGCCACGAGCTGACGAGCAGTACCTAGGAGGGATGCAGGAAGCCAGGATGTAGCAGAATTGGACCTCCATAATTGCAGGTGATTTTCTAATCTAATTTAGACATGGAAGCCGATGGCTTGCTCTTCTCGTTCTTGCTCTTAACTCCTCTTCTTGTTCTAAGTTAAACATCAAATCCATGATATTCATTAATCGCAATGGAAGCCGATGGCCTGCTCTTCTCGTTCTTGCTCTTAATTCCTCTGTTCATGTTCTTGGATCAATGCAGGCAGTTGCCCCCTGTTCTTAATTCTCTGTGTTCTTCTGTGTAGTTTTTATACTATGTCGTTTGAAGAAAAGAGCACAGGGGTACTAGACTGCACTAGATCATATTTACACGCAAACATTAAATTCTTACTCTGTATTTCAACAAACCTAATAGCCGGCTAAATGGTTACTCTATTATATCAGTTATTAGCTATAGTATTAGCTTATTTATATGATGTGGCAATGTCATACAGCCTGTGGCTGGCTAAATTATTAGTCATGCTTTAAATTTGGATGAAGCAACGAGGGCCAAACATTGCCTATTGATAGATCATTGGAGCGGATAAATGTAGCCACAGACCTTGACTCCTCATCGTCGTAAAGCTTCTTTCTATGACATAAGCGAGAAGTCAACGCGATAGTGTCGATCGTTAAACCACTCTTTACTTTGCTGACCTGATCCAAAAGAGACGGCCAAGAGATCGCCCTCACATAACATAGCACCGAAAGTACCGCCTTTTATTTTGAACTTCCCAGATTTTTTATCTGCCCAATGCGTGGGACTAAGGATGAAAACGGTCGGAAACGGTATTACAATATAAAAAACGGAAGCGGTTGGTTCGGGATATTTCTATATTTTAGTAATTAAAGAGTACAAAAAATGGTTAAAAATGGTTATGAAACCAGATTTTTATGTTTGGCAAAATTCAGAAATGGTATCATAATATAGAAAATTGTATCATACTATAGAAAATAAAAGCGATCGGTTCGGAATATTTCCGTGCCGTTTTCATCCTTACATAGGATGCAACGTCTGCAGGATTTACCTGCCCCCTCTGTCGCCGTTCAACAGTGTGCAGTCTGTTCCTGCATGCTGGGACGCAGGACTAGGGATGAAAACGGATCGGATACGGACGGATATCATCGATATTACATTTATTTTCATATTTCTGTCCGGATTCGGATTTGAATGCGGATGGTGTCAACCATGCTGGATTGGATACGATTGGATATCGACATCATAAATATGCGATTTGAGTATTTGGATACGAATACGGTATCGGATGTTGAATATCTGGACTCGAATACGGACAGATTTGAACCTCTCTAAACGAATTTGGTCTCGAATGAGGTCAGAAAATATCCGTACCGTTTTCATCGCTATACAGGACAGTGCCATATTGGGTGCAGTAGTAGCACAAATTTCATTCGAAGAGTATTTCCTCCACTAAGCAGATAAATGATGTATACATAGGAAAATGGATACGCTGTGCTAGCAGATCTAGCGCGTTCAATCACTACATGCAAATAAGGGATCATGGATCACTACCACTAGACACGCAATGCGGCGGAAAAAAGTTAGAGTAGTACAATCCAACATAGTTCACGTCGATGTAGTGGAAGTAGGTGTACGTCCTCACGCAACAACAACAACAAAACGCCTGCCCGCCTTGTTCGTTTGTGACGCGTTCGTCGTCGATCAACATCGCAGCAACAGCATCTCTACAACATCCTCACGTGCGGAGATGGAGCACCGGATGCCGGTGTGCTTGCACCTGGCACGCAGCCAAGAGGGAGACAGGGGCTTAGGCTTGGAATGTCGAGTTCTATTTCCCATAAGGTCTTAGTACATTTATATATGGATGATGACTCCATATCTCTACATCAACTAGCGGTATGGTACTAATTGATGTTGCATGTTTCACCTACACTCATGGACTTTAAACATTAAAGCTGCCCCTCACTAAAAGCCCATTAGTAGTATCCTAATGGATCATTATTATGTTTTAGCCCTATTATGGATCCATTCCATAACAGGTATGATTGTCTCTTGGACACGTCACCAACAATCTCCCACATGAACTAGGTTTGTGTCTATACAACCATGTTCGAAAACCATTTTGAGTCATTAATCAATAGTGGTGCCTAGCAGCACATATTAAATCATGCATATATACACATAAAGATAATATCGGCCGAACCTTGACATACACACGTCTTAATCCTTTGCCACACGATACTAGTCGAACTCAAGGCAAGATTCATGCCACCCTTGTGATAGCTCAACACTTCACTCAATCTTGTAGTGGATTACAACTTGTGACTAACTCTTTAGTCACACCATGATTAAGTCTTTAATCACATTGGCATGGCCATTCACTTTCTAATCCAACCATATCGAGGGGCCCAAAGATATCTCTCCTGTTATGTAGGAGGGGAAATGGAATGATCCATGATTTCCTGAATCAAACCATAATGTGATAGTACCAGGACATCATGCCATCACATTATCGAATTGCAGCTGATATCACAAGTCATACATATCAAATATATGTCTTGGAAGGATACAATAGAGAGGTTTACCCATAATTATTACATCGCTTT